GAGAATGGGCTCTGGGGCCAGACACCTAAATCTGGATCCCTGCTGAGTGACTGTGGACAAGTTACTCAGCTCTCTGGGCCTCAGTGTCCTTGTCTATAAAGTGGGGATAACTAACTCAGTCCTGTTGAAGTTGATAATATTAAATGCAGTAATAACAGCAGGACCACTCTGGGACATATGTTATGTGACTGATACTGTTGAAAGCTTTCTAATATCTGAAAAGATTATCAAATAGCACAGGGCATGTGAAAAGCATTCGAAGTTACATGTTACCCCTTGAGGCCCTATGTTGCTGCATCTCTGTGAGGGCCTTTTTTTCTAAGCTTTATTTATTTGAGAGAGAGAAAGCACATGCGCCTGAGCCAGGGGCTAGGGGAGCAGAGGGAGAGCGAGAGAGAAACCCAAGCAGACTCCGCACTGAGCATGGTGCTAGACTTGGGGCTCGATCTCACGACCCTGAGATCAGACCTGAGCCAAGACCAAGAGTCGGACGCTTAACCAACTCCCAACACCCAGGTCCCGTCCCCCAGTCCCCCCCACCCCCCCCCCCCCCCGTCCCTTGAAGGCCTGTTTGACCGCTCTAAACTGAGACCTTGCCTTCCTCTGAGCTCCTAGCACCTCCTGGTCAGTGCAAGTCAGAGGCCCTTTGATCTGTGGCTTTTAGAATACTTGGCTCTTCTGCCCTCTGAACCTGTGGCACCAGAGGGCGCAGCCCAGCTGCCTGGATGTGGCCTGCACTAGGCGGCTTTCCTTGGGAGCTGCGGACTGGCCGGCTGTGGGAGCATTTGTGTTATAGGGAAGCACAGCCCTGCCTGGGGGTGTGGGCCGTGCAGCACTCTGACCTGGCGTAGGGGTGGAGGGCGCCAGCAGCCTTGCACCCCAGCTCTGCCTTGCTGGCCAGGGCCCTGCCCAGGGTTCCCAGACAGCCTGCTGGATTTCCCAGGGCCCCCTGGCTATTTCCCAGCACTCGCCAGAGCCATAGCTATCCCTGGCGGAGTCCTGAGAGTGACCACCTCCTCCGCTGCCTCCTCAGGGTGGAGTCCATGTCCCTGGCTGACAGGGGAAACCCGGGAAATATCACTTCACGCTTGGTGGAGAAGGAGAAGGCCAGAGATTGCCTGATTCCTATGGGGTGAGTGTGCCCCCTCAGCTCCCTTCCTGGCCTGGAGCAGGCGCACAGAGACTTGGATCATCTGGTGGCCTCCTGCCTTCGGGCTTGTTCTGCTTTGCTGGGCCATGGGGATGGGACTTGCTGCCCCTGACTTCCCTTTCCTGAGGCCTCCAGGTACTCTGTGCCTCTGGGTTTCCAGTCATGGCCCAGCCTGTCACTCCCACCCTGAGGGACCAGTCGCACAAGGAACGATGGCAGCTGCATGCCAAAGTCTTGGGAGGCCTAGGACCTTGAAGTGGAAGGGCTTTGAGTTGGAACACACTGGTGAGGCGGCTTGGGTCCTGTCAGATGCAACATCACAGTGCCTTGCATTTGCTCGGCATCTTAGCTCTGCAGCCAACGTTGCTGAGCCTCTGGGCCATCCCCCCCAGGTTCATAAGCAGGGAGTCATGGCTCCCCTGAAAGTGAGATTTGAGGCTCAAGAGAGGGGCAGTGCCCTGGCTGCCTCCACATCCAGTGACCCCACCTCCCAGGGAAGCCTCTAAAGCCAGAAGCCCAGGTGGGAAGGCCCAGCTGCAGCTGTGGGTCCCCAGGGTGAGGCCTGGCTCTGGTCACAGTGAGCAGAAAGCCTGGAGGGGTGGGGCTTCCTCCCCCCACCCGAGAGCAGCTTTCCTCAAGGCATAGGAGAAGCTGGTGAAGAGTAACCCGTTCGCGTCCCCACCCGTTCCCTCATCTGCCCCTCTGCTGGGCTGGCCTTTCTGGTGTACAAGCTTCTCGGGGTCTGGCCAGCCCTGCTGCCTCCCTCCCTGTGCCCCCACACTCCACCCAGAGTCATCTTCTGTCTCCAAGGCGTGGCCTGGCCCTCCTGTCCTCCCCTGCCTACCGCCGCAGGGACCCAGAGTTGCAAGCAGAGCTCTGCGGCCCCTCCCAGGCCCCCAGGCTGCTGGGCACGTCCATGGTGTGCTGGTTTTGTTTTAGGATAACTTCGGAGAACGTAGCTGAGCAGTTCGGCATTTCGCGGGAGAAGCAGGATACCTTTGCCCTGGCTTCCCAGCAGAAGTGAGTGCTGTTTGGGATGGGGAGTGTGTAAGGGGCTAGAGAGTGAGGTTTTGAGGCTAGATTAAGTGGCCTCAGGTAGAGCTGCCCTTTGGCTACAGCTGGGCAATGAGTGGTTTCCAAGCCTAGTGCCTGCCAGGAGGGAGAGGTGGGCAGGGACCAGAACGTGCTGGAAGTGTGTTGGTAGCTCTTCCATGTCCTGTTACTGTCTACTCACCCTGAGTCTCTCCCTAGCTGGGCTTCAGTTTCCCAATCTATTCATCAGGGCCAGGACTTTGCTCTGATTGTCTGTGGTTTGGTGATTCGACATGGCAGCCATAGGCTTCTCTAGATAGCCTGGGTTATAGGGCCTGCACTGCTGGGGACCCTGGCATCCCAGCTTCTGGACCACTCCTGGGTCTGGGGTAGCATCAGAAGACCCCCAGGAGCTCAGGCCTCTGGGCAGGGGCAGGCTGAGGTTGACAAGCCCCAGATGCCCAGAGGTGACAGCAGAAGAAGGGAGTGGGCTTCTCTGAGGCAGTGGTTCATAGGCACTTGGGGTCAAGGAAGCATTTGAAAACTTGGTGAAAACTGTGGAATCTTCCTCAGGGGAAACCCCTAGTCCCTGACATCTTGCATATGATCGCAAGGATCACCCAAAAAACACTTTGTGCTTTTGTACTGTTTAAATACTAAGATTCATTACGTAGTTTAGTGTATGTCATTTTAAATGTGTGGAAACTGGGGAACAGATGAAATTGAGCCATTGGGATAGAAGAGCCAAGTTGGTAGAACCCAGCACAAATATTCCTGGGGCTCCGTCTTCAGTTTGGCCCAGAGAACCAAGCAGGCTCAGTACCTCTTGGGTAAAGGGCTCAAAGGGGCAGGCACCACATCTAAACCTCCCCTTGCCCTTCCAAGGTTGGGATTGGCCAGGATCTGAAGATAGGAGGCTGATGGCGAAGAAGGCCCCGTAAGGCCTCAGGCCTCCCACTCCCAGGCTGGGGAAGAGGGGCCCTCAGCTCCCCTGAGGCGAGCGTGTCCCCATGTGTAGCAGCCTGAGCTTGTCTGCCCCAGTGGGCAGGGGTGGTAGAGGCAGTGGGAGGGACCCTGGGAGGAAGGGACCCCAAGGGAGCCTGAGCCTGGCTGTCCATGGTGCTGGCAGGGCAGCCAGAGCCCAGAGCAAGGGCTGTTTCCAAGCTGAGATTGTGCCTGTGACCACCACGGTCCATGATGACAAGGGCACCGAGAGGAGCATCACCGTGGCCCAGGATGAGGGTATCCGTCCCAACACCACCATGGAGGGCCTGGCCAAACTGAAGCCTGCCTTCAAGAAGGGCGGCTCTACCACGGCTGGTGAGACTGGACTGGGGGAGGGCCAGGAGGGGCAGTGTCCATATGGGCTGTTCTCTGGGAGCCTGGAGCCCCCAGGCAAGGTGTGCAGGTGGTGCTCCTCTGCCCTGCCCTCTGATGCGTCCTAACCCGCATGATTTGCCTGTAGGAAACTCTAGTCAGGTGAGTGATGGGGCAGCTGCCCTCCTGCTGGCCCGGAGGTCCAAGGCAGAAGAGTTGGGCCTTCCCATCCTTGGGGTCCTGAGGTCCTATGCGGTGGTTGGGGTCCCACCTGACATCATGGGCATTGGACCTGCCTATGCCATCCCTGTAGCTTTGCAAAAAGCAGGTAAGGTGGTTCCTTCGCAATCTCCATCTGTATCCCACCCCTGCCTCTCGTGCTGGTGCTGGTGTGGGGGGAGGTCACGTGAGTGCTGCAGAGTGAAGGTGGGCCAGGCCGGCCCCTGTCCCCCAAGCCCTTCCTGACCTCACAGCTGGGACCCACCTGCCCATGTGGATTAGACACACCAAGCAGCCTTTAGGCCATGGCTGGGATGGGGACGCTGGGTCAGCTCAGGTCTTTTCCCCTGACCCACAGGGCTGACGGTGAATGACGTGGACATCTTTGAGATCAATGAGGCCTTTGCAAGCCAGGTGAGCTTTCCTTTCTCAGTGTTGCCTGGGCCTTGGATAGCCGAGGTGGAGCCAGTGGGCATTGGGTACAGGGGTTGGGAAGAGAACCGTAGCTGATGCTCTGCCTCCTTCCAGGCCGTCTACTGTGTGGAGAAGCTAGGACTCCCCCCCGAGAAGGTGAACCCTCTGGGGGGTGCAGTGGCCCTGGGCCACCCACTGGGCTGCACCGGAGCTCGACAGGTCATCACGCTCCTCCATGAACTGAAGCGCCGTGGGAAGAGGTAAGCTGGGGTGCTAGGGGCAGGCATACATGCACTGAACGGAGGACACAGGGCCGTGACCCCCGTTTTCCCTGGGGGCCAGCGGGAAGGGCACCCTGGCCTGCCACCGCGTGTGTGGGCTCAAGTGGGCAGTCTGGGATCCGCATGCCCAGAGGTCTGGGGAGAGGCCCTTGGTGCCTTCGCCCAGCCAACATAATCTTGCTTCCCCAGGGCCTACGGGGTGGTGTCCATGTGCATCGGGACCGGGATGGGAGCCGCTGCTGTCTTTGAATACCCCGGAAACTGAGGAAGGCCCACCTAGTTCTGCCCTGGGGCGGGGGGGGGGGGGGTGGCGGCGGGATGAACATGAGCACTGGTGCCACACTACGGGCCTGCCTTCTGCCAGGTCACCCAGGCCACCATGTGGGTCCTGGAGGTGAGAAGGGTAGCAGACAATAAATACGTACTCTCATCGTGCTGGCTGTGGTGTTTCCCAAGGGCCAGTTCTGGCTGTCAGGGGTCTTGCCTCTAGCCCAGCTGTGTGCTGAGGGCCTGGGCTAAGAGCACTGCCCTCCAGGGAGTCCCTTCCCTCCCCAGAGCCCCTTGGGGGTCCTCCGGTGTGCACCCCTGTCCAGCAAACCTGGTCCTTAGCCCTAGGTCATGGTTTATTTGCAAAGCTGGGGGGCTGCGAGTAGAGCCTCAGAGCTGGTGGGGTGACACATATTTCTCATCATAAGAGCCTCGGCCCCGGAGCCGTAGGGTGCAGGCCTTCTCACCAAGCACGCCTTCCACCACCAGCGTGGACTCATACAGCTCACTGCTCCTGTGGGATTGGGGGAGTCACTTACTGGGGTTAGGAAGGGGGCCCTGGCCTGTGGGCAAGGCTGGGAGAGGCTGGTACCTGGCAGTGAAGAAAACCTGGAGGGTGATGGAATTTGGGGGGGCATTGACCAGTCGTGCCTCCAGCAGGCCACTGTTTGGAGATACCCTGAAGGCCGCAGGGTCCTTGTCTGGCTCCTGCTGGCCTGCACCGAGGGAAGGGAGCACGCGAGCGTAGGCAGCTCCGTGCGCCGCCCCAGCGAGACCCCCGCCCCGCAGCTCAGGTTGTGCACCTCTGGTCCGGCCTGGTGCCACGGGGCGAGGCACCCTGGGATCACTTGGGATCTGGGAACCGGCCATCTGCGGGAACCCCCAGGTGGTGCCAGCCTGCGGGGGAAGTGGTGGGCAGGTACAACCTACCCGTCAGCACAGCCCAGTAGCTCCGACAGCCGCTCAGGTTCATGAGGTCGACCTCCCGGACCTGCCCCTGGTTCACAAAGCAGGTCCCGAAGTCCACCCAGCTGGTGGAGAGCTGCAGCTCGGGCACGGCCACTGTGGCCCTCAGGGGCACCACCTAGGGGGACAGAGCCTGCAACGTGGGGCCCTCGTGCCCTCCTGCTGACCCCAAGTCCCGAAGCTTCGGAGGAACACATGGGCAACCACAGCAAGTGGAAGGGGGCTGGCGCCGGCATCTAAAACCACAGCTGGTGGGGGTCTGCGCTGGTAAAGGGTCCCGAAGACGCCATCTGCCCTCCCTCCGCCGCCCCTCCCCCTGCCCTGATCAAGCTCGGTGGTTTCTGCTCCCTGGTCAGGCTGCCCTCCCCCTCCTCCCCCAGCCCCTGGGGTCCCAAGGCCCAGCCCTCTGCCCCTCCTGGGCTCTGGGCCATCTCACCTCTTCCCTTGGCCTCAGGTCCCACCTGTGTGCTGACCCGTCCTCGCTCCTGGCGGTCCCCCCACATCATCCTCAGGCACCACCATACACACCTCATCACCTCAGCCTTCCCGCCCCTGGGCCCCAGCAGCCGCCCAAGGACCAAGCTGGGGGGCCTGCCTGGTCACAAACGGATTCTTCTTCTGGCCTCCCTAGAATCCACCCCTTAGGCTATTCCTTTCTGTTCCTCACTGTACCTTCCAGCTGGGAGGCTTCACGTGCCGCATACCTCCTCCAGGAAGCCTTCCCTATTTCCCACCCTACAGCACCTCACCTGGTTCTGAGCTGAGCTAGGTAAGGAAGGATGACGCTCGTTTCTCCACGTGTGTCCTCAGGGAAAGGCCTCTTCCAGGGCAGACCGGGCCCTCAGGGCGAGGCCTGGGGCTCCTCTTATTTCGGAAGGCCGGGTCGGGGTCTGCCCTCCTCTGACCCACGAGAACAGAGTCTGGCCCGTTTCCGCCCTCTCCGACATGGGGCAGGCCTGGGACTCACCTGAGCGGTCTGGTTGGCGTACTCCAGGAGCAGGTTCTGAGTAAACACCATCTCTTTCTCCCCACTGGCGCGCTGCCGGATGTCCACCCCGGGCAGCATCTGGTCAGCCGGGAGCTTCTGGTAGGAGAGCAGCTCCAGGGACAGCGAGAAGGACACGTTCACCTGAGCAGATGTGAACAAGCCTGTCACCTGAGGCTGCCGAAGGCAGGCGGCGGCTTCTCCACCTGGAGCTCCGTCCTCCTTCCCTCCGTGGCCCCCACTGCCCGGCAAGGCCCCAGCTCGGCCCCTGCCCACACGCAGCCTGCAGGGCCGGCCCAGACTGAGCCAGCCTGGCCCGGCACGCAGCGTGTCTGGTGCATTCGGTCCACAGACACGGCGCCGCGCTCTGTGCCCAGCACCCGTTAGTACTGGGGACAGGGCCCTGCCTGCCCTCAAGAGCTGAGGACCTCGAGGGGAGACTACAAGCAAACCGCCCTTTACCCTTGGCATGCCCAGGGCTGCGGGTGTGGGATGAAGAGTGGGGAGACATGGAGACTGAGGACGGGCAACAACAGGATGTGGGGGCTGGCTGGTCAGAGGGGGCGGGGAGGAGGATGCCAGGGCTCTGCTTGGGCACAGGGTCGGGGGCAGTGGTATTTGCTGAGATCAGATGCTCCCAGCAAGAGTGGAGGCACAGGTGTGGGCAGGACTGGGTGAGGAGGACAATGGAGAACTGAGTTTGGGCTAGAATTCTGGTCAGGGCCAGATAGATGCCTGGGTTCCGTCGGCACGTGGAGGGTGAGAGGTAGTACTGTTATGAAATGTCCTCTCTCCAAGAGCCCTGGGGCTCCCTGAGGCATTTTAAAGGGACCTTTACTTGGCGACAGCCTGTGGTTTCACTGGCGCCCTGGTGGAACAGGCCCTCTGGCTGTGCTTCGGGGCTGCCCCTCAGTTTACCTCTGCAGAAGGGAGCAAAGGCTAAGTGAGCCCAGGGTGGCCGCCCTTCTTTCTTCTGTAGCTGTTTCGCCCCCCACGGTGAGGTCCCTGGGGGAGGGTGGCACCCAGCGTGGCACCCAGCACCCGGCAGGCGCTCGGTAGGCCCACACCAAAGCGCAGCTTGGAAGAGCGGATGGGCCCGCCCGCTGAGGCTGTGAGAGCGGACGCCACGACGGTGTGCGGTGTCTGGACACCAGCGTGTACAAGTGCGTGACGCTGGCGTGCACACGTCTGTCCACACGTGTGCGTGTGACGGGAAGGTGACCCCTGGCCCGGTGACCGCCTGCAGAGCCCCCACTGACCAGCATGTTCTCCTGAGGGTGGAGCACCAGCCGCTTGCCGCCAGTGGCCTGCTCTTCCTCACACCCCTGTTCCGGGCCAGGAGCACTGCGGCTGCGGCTGGCCCCTCCTTGAGCAACAGAGAAGGGCCTGGAGACCAGGAGCCGGAAGTACTGCGGGATTTCAGTGGTGTTGCTCAGCTTCAGGTGGTGGGTGCTCAGCAGCTCACTCAGCACCTGGGTGGCCACAGGGGAGGCGGAGGCCGGGGATGCATCTCTCCCCTCCCGGATCCCACGGCTCTGGGGTGGAGGCACTTCGGGGGGAGGAGGACCCGGACTGTAGGAGGGCTCACGGCCATATCTGAGGTCCGGGGAGACTGGCAGGGCCCGGGGGGGAGGGCAGGGGGGACAGCACACTCACCCCAGTACAGGGCTGCTCTGGGATGAGGTCGCTGGCCTGGTGCCGGAACTCTACGCCACCACCGTAGTCCAACTCCACGCTGAGCCTGCCGGCAAAGGAGCATGGCTGGGCCCCGGGGGCCTCCTGGCTGTCCCCCTCTGCTCATCTGGCTCTAGCCAGCCTTTGCCTGGGCTCACCTGCTGGCTTCTCCCTCCCGTTGCCATCTTGCTCCCAGGGTGCAGGTGCTCCCCACAGGGGGCTAACAGGAGGCCCTGCCAACTCACTGTGCGGGCCGCACGTAGCTGCACAGGTCCAGCCGCAGGGGTCCCACGGCGAAGTCCTGCAGGCGACGTCTCCTCCCCGGAAGCTCTCTTTCCACCTGCGGAGCCCAAGCCTCATTGCTGGCGGCCCCGGAGCTGAGGAGGCAGCATGCCCCCCGGGCCAGGCAGGCTCACCTCCTCGTCCAAGCTCATGAAGCCCAGGGCGTAGCCAAGGCACGCCATCTTGTGCGGGATGCCGGCGCCAAGGCCCGTAGGTGAGAAGGAGATGGAGATGGTGCTGCTGCCCCCTGCAGGGACCACCTGGCACAGACGGCAGCCTCAGTGCCGCCCCCGGGCCACCGGCCCGCCGGCGCGGCGCTCTGCTAGCCGCTCCCAGCCCCGCCGGACTCACCACCTGCTTGGGGCTGATGCTGTACAGGTGGTCGGCGGGCACCCCGTCATGCTCCCGCAGAAGGACGGAGATGAGCTTCTGCCGGGCCCTGTTGCTGACACCGCAGCGGTCCTCGGCCTGTCATCAGGGAGTCGCTGGGGCTCACACAGGCTCAAGGCTCACTGGCCCCAACTCAGCAGCCAACCCGCCCTGCCCCTCCACCCCTATTCACAGCCTGGGCAGCTTCGTGGCTGGAGTCCGATGCGCCAGAGGGGCTTGGGGACCAGAAGGAGCTGCTTCTCTCAGGGGTCTCCGGGCACGAGAAGTCATTCCCAGCTTGGTCCCGCAGCGGGAAAGGTGGCCCGTAATACACCAGCAGCTCCACCAGTCGGTCCTCCCTGTCTTCCGGAGTGTAGGTCTCCCAGTCCAGGCGGATGTCTGGGCGAGGGGGGTGAGGGCTGAGGAAGGGGCAGGCCAATCGTCCCTGGACCCCCGCCCCACAACCACTGCTGCTGCCTATTCTCCCATTCTCAGGGTGAAGGGGGCCTCGCCTTCTCCCTAATGCCACTTCCAGGCAGTTCTCATTTTGAGAAGTCTACAGGCTCTGTCAGCTGGCTCTATGAGCCCTACCCTATGGACCCCAGGAGCAGGCCTTCATCCAGATGCACCAGTCCGGGTACTTGGGGCTCTCTCTCCCTGCCTTCTCCACCCCCATCAGCTCCCACTGCACTCCCTTCCTTCTCTGGCTGGGCTAGTCTGGATGCCACCATGTCAACCTCCGTCTTGCCAGGATTCTCATCTCCCTTTACCCCCAACCTTCTACCCACCTGGCAAAGCCTAGCCCTGGAGAACTGAACCAACCCTCAGCCCACTGTCACGCCTTCCCTGCTCTCGGACACCTGTGCCACCCCTGGGCACTGGGCTGCTGGCCCCAGCTCACCTCCCCGAAGCCCCCACATCAAGATGGCCCCAAAGGCCCATCGCAACGCCCTCATCTGTCAGCAGGCATCTAAGCCATCCCCCCACTTCCCTCCCGCCTCAGTCTGCCTCCACCCCCTCTCAGGGGCCAGCCATGCCCAGTCTCCCCACCTTGAACAGTTTCCCTCCGCCAGACGACCTTTCCAAACCCCCTTCCCTCCCTCCCCAGCATGCTTGTAGGACCCTGTGCACCCATGCCTCCCCCACTCTGCCCTCAGCCCCTCCCCAGCTAACATCTGACTCATGGCTAGCCCTGCGGGAGACCTGGTGAACAGGCCCACACTCCTGAGCTCATATTTCTTCAATTTACTGCCTTGCCACCTGCCCCTTACAGCCACCAAATCCCCCTCACCAAGGCCACCAGTGACCTCCCCCCCCCACCGAAGTTTAGTAGAGACAGAAATATGCATGTGATGATAAGCCCTGAGGATAAGAAGGGGAACCACCAAAACACAAGAAGGTAGAAGAGAAATTCCAAATTAAAAGGAAAATGGCACAAAGTCACAAAAAGCAAAAGAAAGTAGAAAAATAAAGTCATTAAGTAAGGAAGAAGTACATAGACTGAATTTCCTATTAAAAGATAATGTCAGGTTTGAGATGCCTGGGCGGCTCAGTCGGTTAAGCGTCTGCCTTCTGCTCAGGTCATGGTCCCAGGTCCTGGGATCGAGCCTCACGTCGGGCTCCCTGCTCAGGGGGAAGCCTGCTTCTCCCTCTCCCACTCCCCCTGCTTGTGTTCCCTCTCTCGCTGTCAAAAAATAAATTAAAATATCAAAAAAAAAAAAAGATAATGTGAGGTTGGGCTTTTAAAAAGCTCAGCTCTCGCAAGCTGGTGCAGCCACTCTGGAAAACTGTATGGAGGTTCCTCAAAAAGTTTAAAATAGAGCTACCATATGATCCAGCAGTTGCACTACTGGGTATTTACCCCAAAGATACAAAAGTAGGGATCTGAAAGGGTACGTGCACCCCGATGTTTATAGCAGCAATGTCCACAATAGCCAAACTGTGGAAAGAGCCAAGATGCCCATCCACAGATGAATGGATAAAGAAGAGGTGGTATATATATACAATGGAATATTATGCAGCCATCAAAAGTAATGAGATCTTGCCATTTGCAATGACGTGGATGGAACTGGAGGGTATTATGTTGAGTGAAATAAGTCAAACAGAAAGACATGTATCATATGATCTCACTGATATGAGGAATTCTTAATCGCAGGAAACAAACTGTTGTTGGAGTGGGGGGTGGGGTGGGAGGGATGGGGTGACTGGGTGATAGACACTGGGGAGGGTATGTGCTCTGGTAAGCGCTGTGAATTGTGCAAGACTGTTGAATCTCAGATCTGTACCTCTGAAACAAATAATGCAATATATGTTAAGAGAAAAAAAAGAAGAAGGTAGCGGGAGGGGAAGAATGAAGCGGGGGAAATTGGAGGGGTAGACGAACCATGAGAGACGATGGACTCTGAAAAACAAACAGGGTTCCAGAGGGGAGGGGGGTGGGAGGATGGGTTAGCCTGGTGGTGGGTATTGAGGAGGGCACATTCTGCATGGAGCACTGGGTGTTATGCACAAACAATGAATCATGGAACACTTCATCTAAAACTAATGATGTAATGTATGGGGATTAACATAAGAATAAAAAAATAAAATAAATAAAAAATAAAAAAAAATAAAAAGCTCAGCTCTCTGTTGTTTACCAAGAAACATATCAAAGTGATAAAGGGTAAAAACGGGGAAGGGCAAACATGAGACAGTTCTCAAATGCATCTAACAACACAGCAGCTAAGAAGTGAAACTGCTGGAAACACCAGATTTGCTTTTTAAGCTTTTATTTTTAAGTAATCTCTACACCCAATATGGGCCTCGAACTTAGAACCCCAAGATCAAGAGGCGCATGCTCTACCAACTGAGCCAGCCGGGTGCCCCTGGAAATGCCAGGAGATCTTGAAAAAGCCGATTAGAGCAGCGAATTCAGTGCCCCTTTCCTAACGGGCCAGACCCCGCGGACAGACGGAGCAGGGACCTGGAGCACTGGCACTCCCCCGCTGCACATTCCTCACAGGCACCAAGGAGCTTCAAGTCGGAGCTGCCTGGGCCCTGCCCCTAAAGACTGGCTCAGCCCCTCGTGGCCCAGCCTGGAGATGCCTGAAACCCTGGTCCACCTCCAGCCCACCAAAGCTCCTCCTGTGGCCCGGACACTCTCCATTCCCAGGCGCTTCGCCAGGCCCTGCTGGTTCATCCTCCCTCCTGGATGCAGCCTGGATGCCCCACCCATGCGATCCTCCAGCAGCCCCCCTCAATGCACCCAACCTGATGGCTGCACCCCCATCAGCACAGGAGCCTCTCGGTAGAGACCCCGCTGTCCTGTTCCCTCTGGATCCCCAGCAGCTTGTACCAGCACCTGGCTATCGCTCAGGTAGAGCTGGCTGAAGGGATGAGAAAAGGTGTCCCCCTCCAGTGTCTGCTCTTATGCAGAGTGAACCTGATAAGAGCAGGGCACCTGTGGCACTGGGGGGCCCCAGCGGCGGGCAAGGGCATGTCCTGTCCTCACGCATGGAAGCAGCTATCTCTGACAACCCCCAACCAGCGGGTCGCTCCCCACCTTGGCCCTCAGGGGCCTCCCTCGGCAACCACGGGCCACCTGGACTCCTGGGTCCCAGTCACAGGCCGTCAGCTTCCCCCAGCCCCAGCGTCCCTCCCAGCCTGGCCCGCCACGTGGCACAGTGTGTCGGGAAAGCCCCAGCTTCTCTCGTGAGCCTCTCACCACAGGGGCTGGAGTTATTCAAGCGAAGGACCCGGGTGACCGTGTCTCCTCCAGAGACCTGGGTGCCGAACCTGGAGGCAGGAGACCGGGCTCACACGGCGCAGGCAGGGCTGCTCACAGAGGGGGCTGGAACTGGGGCTCGGGCGGGGAGGAGGCCTGCAGTGGTCTATCCCGAAGTCACGAGGGCCTCGGGCTGGAGGCCTTCCCCGTGCAGTGGCCGGCGAGCGGTGACCCGGGTGCTCGGTGCCCCAGTAGCCCCTGCCCCCGCCCTACACCAGCACCTACCGACAGATCCCAACTGGTGGTGTGTGGGGCCCCAGGTCTGGCACGGACCTCAGACCACCCTGACTACTTGCTCCTTCTCTCCCTACCCCAAGCCCTCGGAGATGTGCAGACAGCAGCCACGGCCTTGGAGGCCGCTGTCTTCCAGGGCGGCCCTGTTCTGGGGCTTTCTTGCTGGGTGGCACCAAGTAGCCTTGGGCCCGCTGGAGAGCAACAGGTCAGCACGGGCAGCCAGGCTGGAGGCCAGAGGGTTTCAAGGGCTAGGGGATGAGGCCGGTGGCGTCACCTGACGACAGGTTCCTTCTGCAACGGGTCAGTGGTATAATAGGTGGTCCTCCGGGAGCTGATGGGGCAGCCCACCACTGCCATATGCACCGGGATGACTGTTGGTGGCAGGTCTCCCACCTGCAAACGCACACCAATCCTGTGTCCCTCTCGTCCCCTGCTGCCATGGCATTCCCTGGCTCCCCATTCCCTCTGTTCAAGGCCTTCCCTCCAACAGAACAATGGACATAGTTCACCCCTCCATACTGAACTAGGAACTCCTTGTTGGATCATCTGGTCTTATCTGTCCCTGTATCCTCCACAGTCCAGAGAACCCCACAGGAACCCCATGCACAGCAGGTGCCCCCTTCGGGCCGAACAAGTGAGTGAAGGCCCAATGGGAGAGTGAGTGAATGCACCAAGGGCTAGGTGACAGTATGGCTCTGGAAGGCTGTTACTGCTTCTCCATACTCACTGCCCCTCCAGGTCTCGAGTCCTGGCCCAAGTAGGCAGCCTGTCAGATTCCTCTGCCCTCCTCTGTGTGCCCAGCCTCATGGGACCCCATGGGAAAAGGCATGAAAGATTCTGCTCCCAAGAACCCCTCCTGCGTGAATCATTGTGGTTGCTGTGGGTGTGAATGCCTATCCCAAGCTCAGTGGGCACGGTCTTCCAGCTTGGAGAGACTTGAGAGGCTGAGGGCCAGGAGTTGGAGGAGGGAGAGCCCGAAGGTGAGGCCGGGCTCAGGCCATCTATCCTTACCGTGCAGATGAGGTTGTCCCAGTACTCGCCCCACATGTTTGCGTAGCCTGAGATGTCGATGCTTAGCTGCTGGTGGGCCCCCAGCATGCCCTGGGAAATGTGGGGAAAGAAGGCAGCTCCTTTGCCATGAGACAACATGCTTTCCATAAAATCTGGGCGATAACCAGGAATGGGGATTCAGGACTCCAGGGCAGGAAGGAGGTCCAAACCCTCAGGAGTTAGCAAAGCACTATACCACAGCCTTGCCTTGGTCTGGTTAAACAGACCCTCCTCCTGGGAGTCCAGAATCCAGCAGGCAGCCTCGCTCACCTCTCAGGGACCAGGCCCTGGTGGGAGCCCTCCCTTCTGAGCCGTTACCCATCCCAAATCAAAACAAGGCCCATGTCCACGGGCTGTATGCCAGGAGACAGCCTCATTCAAAAAGGGAGTCAGGAGGAGGGCCATGGCCATCTCAGAGGTTTTGCTAGAAAAGATCCTGAAATGGGGCTGTGGCCAGGGCCCCCTCCCTGCAGCAGGCGGCCCACCCCCTGAGAAGGCCCCAGGAACCCCTGCTCTGGCCCACACTGGGGCTCTTACTCAGCTGCTCTCGCCTGGCCAAGTGTTCTCGAATCCGCGATGTCTTCAGCAGGGCAGGGGGCATGTCGGGGCTTTACCAGACAGGATACAGAAACAGCATCAAGCCATCAGGGCTGTTCCCCAGAGCTGAGCCATGTCTCCCCGCAACTAGCATCCTACCAGATGCCCAGTGGAGGAAGGCCGCTCCGACTGCTCCTCCCAGGGGAGAGGTCAGGTCTGTTCACCTCCCTCTCTGGTCTTGGCACCTGCTACACCCCCATCACCCAAAGCCCCCTGGCTACAGGCCACCCACCAGCCGAGGGACTGCCTTCCCAGAAACACAGAAGGGCGCTGGGATAGGGACCCCTTGTCCCCAGGCTCTGCCCCGCTGACCCCGGATACCAACCCAGCCCAGACTCCTCATCTCTTGCCCAGCCTTCTGCAAAAGGCCCTGTTTCCAGTCTTTTCTGCTGACATGCGTCCAGCATCAAGTGCCCACTAACTTTCCTGGAGTGGGAAAGGTAATGGCTTACAAACCGTGAGTGGCTCCCCACCAGCCATGGCAGGGGTTTTCAAGTTGGGCTTCCTCGCCTTAGGAGACGAGGTGGTGAGGTGTTTGCTCTGGTGTGCTGGTAGACCACCAGCTTCTGTGGCGTAAATCCTTTCCCCGTGGCTGATGTCCAGTTACAGCTTTGCAGAAAGCCTCCCTGCGACCTCTCTGCCTACACGGCTCCCGCCGCTGCCACGAACTTCTCCCTCACCCGCTGGCCTCATCTCTACCGCCTCATCCGCCAGGATTGCCCCCCCGCCCCCGCTCGCCACAACCCCAGCCTCTCCCGAAGGCCCCCTCAGAGTCTGGGAGATGGGGGGTAGGAGCCGTTTCTCTACATTTCTCCAGGTATCCTTGTGAAAACACACCTTCTCACTCCTCACACCAGCCTCTGGCCGCCTAAGCCACATAGATGCTTAATAGGGCAACCCCGCCTGGCCCCGTCCTCCCTGGGAACTGCCCCTGAAAGAAACCGGACTTACACACTGGGTTTCTGGTTCAGGCTGTCCTGGGGACTCCCGAAGTATTCAAACTTGAGGGTGAAAGGTGTCTGTATCGGGGAGCGGTTGGTCAGGATGAGCGGGCAGCTCACGTGGGTCCTCAGAGGCACCTTGGAGCCGAAGTCAAGGCGGAGTTCCTCCAGGCGGCCCGGCCACAGCTCCGTGCTGGGAACACTGCCCCGGCCGGGCCCAGGGCACGAAGTTACAGGCCACCCTTGGCCCCGCCCAGAGAGCCCCCTGGGGGGGAGTGTGAGAGCTGCCTACACACTGGGCTTCATCCTCGGACTGCCTCCCGTGAAGCTGCCACCCCACAGACACATCCTTCCTGTCAGCTCAGGACGTCAAGAGGGGCCTCAACCACAAACCTTCCCTGACCAGGGGTGACTGGCCTATCTCCCGCTTGCTGGGCCTTGTGTGGGAAAGCCCAAGCTGCCTACGGCCCTGCCCCCTGCGTCTCCTACCTGCCCAGATGCCATGCCTCCAAGTAGGTGGGGGAAAGACCACAGAGAGCGCAGGGTTTGGGTAGAGAGACCTGCTCCCAGAGAGGTTGGCAGGGGCACAATAATACTGTGGCCCTTTCCTGGCCGCAGGAATCAGCTGGGAGTAGGCTGGTATCACAGTGCAGTGCTAGTCCTCTGTATGGTCGCCTCAACCCTCAGGCCCTAGCCCCAGCCCTGGGCTCACCTGCTGTCAGAGCCCTCCATAGAGATGGCAATAGCCACCTGCAGTCCCTGGGGTTTCCCAGAAATGCCCAGAACCAGTGGCTCCTTCATGCCTGACACGGTACAAGGGAGGGCCAGATCGCTCAGCTCGTCCTATAAGAAAGCCCACCAAGGGCATATCAGTACACGTAAGTCCCAGGCCTGGGCCTCACATGGTCTTCCCTAGCAGCGGTGGTTGCTGTGGGACACTCAGCACAGAGGCCTTGACCTCTGTCTAGTCTCATCTCTGTGGAAGGGCTCCTCAGTCCCTCCAGTGAGCCACCATCCACAGGCCCAGCCTGACGTCCCACATCCTGGCCCCTTCCTCAGGGCTCCTGGTTGAGTCTGCTCTGAATTTCTGTGCATACCCACACGAAGGGAGACCCTCAAAGTGGGCCTCTGGAGAAGCTACACACTTATCCTGATGAAGCTGTTACCACAGAAATCAAGCCCTTCCTGACTGAGGCCTGCTCTGTGCCTGTGTCCATCTGCTTATCCCCGTAGAGCTCAGACTCAGCAGAGAAAGAAAGTCTACTGTCTCCAGGTTTGCCAGGGAGAAATGGGACTGGGTCTCCACGTCTCCACAAGGAAGAAGTCTCTTTTCCCACAAGAACCACAAACAGATAGCCAGCAACCCCCAACCAAGTACTGAGCAAGTTCCTCCCCGATGGCCTTCCTGTGGGCTGCGTCAGGGAGCAGCTGTGCCCTTCTTCCGGGAAGGCGGCCACCAGCTAGCCTCTCCTAGTAGCACCCAGCACAGGGCCTGTTCCACATCCTTGGGCAAATTGGAAAGCCGGGCCCACCTATGGCTGCAGACGAGGGGAGGGTAAAGCTGGTGCCAAAGGCTACACATGGCCAGAGGTTCTGAGGGCCACTCAGGCCTGCTCTGGGCTTCCTGACCTTGTATCCCTAGAGAGCAGGCCTAACAGGAATGGGGACCCCAGACCCAAATGCAAGGAATCTCTTGCCCTCTTACAGGAGTGGGGTAGGGTGCCTTCCTAGCCCCTCAGGCCCCCTCACCACCTAACTCACCTGGGTGTGAGTAGCCAGCTCCAGGCTGATGTGGCGCTCCTCACTGGGGCCCAGCGTGCCGCGTCTGGGGGAGGCCCTTGCCGTGCAGACGCTTGCTTGGCGCCCCAGCAGCTGGCAGACATGTGGGTATGGAGGCCCTCTTGTCACACGCTGGATTCCCGGCGTGGACCCGGGGTCTGCACAGGGCTTAGCACTGGGGCGCGCTCTGCTGGAGGCTGGCAGTCTGGGGGCCCGCAGCAGGACCAGAAGGGGCTGGCTGCTCTCTGGCGGGGCTAATCCACCGGTCCCTTCTCCTGCCCTCTCCAACCCTGGGCAGACCTCACGCCTGTCAGGCATTGCCTGAACTAAACAAGCTGCCCTGGGAGGCCCAGGGTGAGGGTGAGGAGAGGGCAACCGCCTCTGAGGCACGGGACATGGCCCCATCTCCCACCTCCCACGGCACACAAAGCAAGCTCCACGGTCAGCCCCTCGGGCAGTGCCTAACGGGGCTCGCAACAGCTACGTGGGCCAGCCATGGGCTACGCCGGCTGGGAGCCCAGGCTGTGTGTTCCAGTGACTCCTTCTCAGCTAGGGAACTAGAATTCCCTGGAGGCAGGACAAGGAAAAACCAGACCAGATGTGCTGCTCCTTCAAGGAGTCCAGCAGTTCTGAGCACTGTGGGGCAAGGGGCAGGCTGCGGGAGAGAGGTGAGCACCTGGGGGGCAGCCTCCCTCTCCACATGGGCCTCTGGTGCTGAGGACTGCAGACCCGGTGGCTGACGGTGCAGGCTCACTCACCGTGCCCCAGTGGAATCGGGTAGGCAGGAGTGTGCCGTTGATGAGTGTAACAGTTGCCTTGGTGGGCACGCCCACGTAGAGGTTCGTGACTTCCACGTGGCTGCTTTGCAGGTACACATGGGGCTCCTGTACCTCAGCATACACAGGAAGGTAGCTGGAACACAAGGAAATAACGGGTATACTGATTAGAGAAGAAACGAAACTCCCTATTTGCAGATGACATGAGGGTCTATGTGGAAAACCCCAAGGAGTCTATATTTTAAGAACTTCTTAAAAAACAATAACAACAACAAATGCAACAACCTCCCACAACTAATGAGTCAGCAAAGTTACGGGGTACAAAATCACATCTGTGGACCACGAACATGTGGGCATAGAAATTAAAAATACAATACTATTTATGATTGTTCAGAAAAACTGCAATACTTAGATATAAATCTAATAAAATCTGTACAGGATTTATATGCTGACAACTACACAACACAGATGAGAGAAATCAAAGATTTTTTTTTTTTAAGATTTTATTTGTTTATTTGACAGAGAGAGAGAGACAGCGAGAGAGGGAACACAAGCAGAGGGAGTGGGAGAGGGAGAAGCAGGCTTCCCGCCGAGCAGGGAGCCCAACGAGGGGCTCCATCTCAGGACCCTGTGATCATGACCTGAGCCGAAGGCAGATGCTTAACGACTGAGCCACCCAGGCACCCCAGAAATCAAAGATTTAATAAAAGGAGAGACATACTATATTCATGGATTAGAAGACTCAACACAGTAAAGATGTCAATTCTCCACAAATTGATCTATAGGTTTAACATAATTCTTAGGAAACTCCCAAAAAGGATTTTTGTAAATATAGACAAGCTCATTATAAAATTTATATGGAAACATAGAGGACATAGAAAAACTAAAACAATTTTTAAAAAGAAAAATACGATAAGAAATCACTGTACTGAATGTTAAGACTTACTCTATGGCTACAGTAATCAAGATAGTGAACCATTGGTGGAGAGATATACACACAGACCAATGGAACAATATAGAAAATCTAGACATACACTCACACCAATCTTTCACAAACTCTTAAATGACAGAGAAGGGGAATGAACACTTCCAAACTCATTCTAAGATGTATTACTCTAGTAACAAAACCAGACAAAGACATCACACACAAAAACACAGACCAATATCTCTTATGACTACAGATACAAAAATCCTCAACAAAATACCAGCAACCCAAATCCAGCAACATATAAAAAGGACCATACACTGACCAAATGGGATTTTTATAAGAATACAAGGTTGGTTTTAACATCCAAAAGTCAATGTAAAACACCATGTTGACACACACAAAGGATAAAAAGGACATGATCATTTCAATAGATGCAGAAAAAAACATTCAAGGAAATCTAACATTCTTTCAATAGAAAAACAATCAGCAAACTAGGAATAGGAGGGAACTTCCTCAACCTGATAAAGGACATCAACAAAAAGCCAAAAGCTAACATCTTACATAACAGGGAAAGACTGCTTTCTTTTAAAGATGGGGAACAGGACAAGGATGTCTACTTTTGCCACTTTTATTCAACTTTATACTGGAGTATTAGGTCCATTAAGCAGGAAAAAGAAATAAAAAGCATACCAATTGGACAAGAAGAAGTAAAATTATCTCTATATACTGATGACACAATCTTCTACTTAGAGAACTATTAGAAATAATAATGAATTCAGCAAGGTTGTGCGATACAAGATCAATGAACAAAAATATTTGTATTTCTATAAACTAGCAATGAATATTCATAAAATGAAATTAAGAAAACCAGTCCATTTCCAAAAGCATCAAAAAAGAGGGCGCCTGGGTGGCTCAGTTGGTTAAGCGACTGCCTTCGGCTCAGGTCATGATCCTGGAGTCCCTGGATCGGGTCCCGCATCGGGCTCCCTGCTCGGCAGGGAGTCTGCTTCGTCCTCTGACCCTATCCCCTCTCATGTGTTCTCTCTCTCTCATTCTCTCTCTCTCTCAAATAAATAAATAAAATCTTTAAAAAAAAAAAAAGAGAGAAAAATAAAGTGGACCTCACGGAAATTAAGAATTTTTAGGCTTTGCAGTATACCATCAAGAAAGTGAAAGGATAATCTTCAGAATGGGAGAAAATATTTGAAAATCATATTCCTAATAAGAGATTTATATCTAGAATATATAAAGAACACTTAGAACTCCATAATAAAAAAAGACAACCCTATTTTTAAAAAGTGGGCAAAGATCTCAATATGGTTCTCCAAAGAAGACAATGGCCAATAAGCACATGAAAGATGCAAAACATCATTTGCCATTAGGAAAAAATAAACCAAATCCTCAATGAAATATCACTTCACACACACTGGGATGACTACCATTAACAGATCATGAGGATGTGGATAAATAGGCCAGCAGAGTGGAGAAGGCTGGAGACTGGGTCAGGATTGGCCACTTACACCTGCACCATTATATCACATACCATTTGTGGAAAACTGTAAATAAAGAATAAAGAAGTAAATATAATGCTGTTCTAATGAGAAAAAAAAAAAAGAAGAAGAAAGGACGTGATCAGATTAGCTAATCACACAGAGAACAATTTAAAATCCCTGGAGAAGAAGGCCCTGCAGAGCTGCCCTAACAACAGAACGAAGCACCTCATGGGCAGGAGTGGGCCGTGGGGAAAGGGCCAAGGACTTAACTCAAGACTGCCTGCAGGTTAGCGTGGCCAGTTCAGGGCCCCAACGCCTGAGCTCACGCACACACGCACGCACACACACCGCATGGCCACACAGCAACACACTGGAAGGTGGGTGTGGGGCTGACAGAGGTCAGGGCTGATTCGGCAGGAACATGGGGCCTCTCAGCTAGCACCGAGGGAAAACAACCATAGAAATCCACTTCATTCCTATTTACAGATGAAGGAATGCAAAGATTTGAGTAGCTGGCCAGGGTGGGCTGCCTCTACTGTTTGTCTTGGCTGCCTTCCCCAAAGGTGCCTTCTTCCTCCTGGATTCAGGTCCCTGGGTACTGAGGGTGCTCACGTCCACTTCGCTCCCTGGAAGAGGAGTGCTCTCCACACCTACACCCCCTTCCTCAGAAACCTAGACCACCAGCTCCTCGTGTAAATCTCCTTCCTCTCCCGCTCCAAATCCGGAGTGGGCAGCCAAGGATTACTTATTGCAGAAGAAAACCCCAAAAGTAAAGGAGAAGGATCCCAACCAAAAGGTGAGAAAACAAAGGTGAGTTTCCTCGGGGGAATCTGAGACACTGCTGCGTCCATAAGACAATAACAGACTACTATAAAAAAGGATGAATCCGAGAGCAAAAAAGCTTCACATTTAAAAACATGACTGCCAAAAGAAGGGCATCCGCCAAAGACCGAATTAGCACCCTGCAAGGCCAAGGACATCTCCCTGAACAAGGAGCACAAACGCTGAGATGGACGATATGAGGAAAATGGTTAAATTCCTGCAGTCCAGATGCAGCAGACCTGTGGTGGGCTGTGGGGGCTACGGTCTTCTCTTGTCTGGCCACTTTCCCACCAGCTTCTTCTGGAGGCCGCCCCTCCCCCTCTGGCACAGGCATGGGGGGCACGTGACCCAAAGAGGCCCAATCAGAGTCCACCTCCGGAGAAAGCCGGTTTCCTTATTCTCCAAGGTTGTTAAGCTGGGAGTGTGGGAACCTGGAGCCTTAAGTGCCCCCCCCTCCCCCAGGGCAGAGTGGCCAAGGGCCCTTGCCACCAGGGGAGAGAAAGGCGAGCAGAGAAGCAGAGTTGGGGGGTGGGGCGGTGAGGGTGAGGGAAGGAGGTAAAGAATGAGAGAGAAGCAGAAGAGCAGACCCAAAAAGGCTGGAGCCCATGGATTCAGCAGGGCAGGAATGCCCCCTTCCAGGAGCCAGCAGCTTCCCTGTTATGCTTAAGTTGGTTCCATCTGTGTTTCCATCACCTACACTGGAAACATTCTGATTCACGCTGGGTTCTTGAAGAACAGAGATAGGAAAGGAAGATGGCAGACTTAATAAAAGGCATTCTCCCAGGGGAGAATGACTTGACCTTGGTATTTAAGGGCTGCAAGATGCCACGTGGGACCAGTGAGGAAGAGTCCCACTGAAATATGTGCTGGTGATTGGGTGGAAGTACACTCAAACCAAACGGACACAGGTGGTCCCACCCCCGCAGCCATCAGGTGGTCACATTTAAAAGTCAGATGTCACTGTGAGCGCGTAGGGTAATGCGCAGCTTCATGCGCTAGAGGTGGAAGTATAAAATGGCAGTCTTTTTGGAGGATAATTCAAGAGTATCCATGAAGATTTAAAACAAGCACTTAAGTGTTTTTATAATGAAATACCAAATATATGCAGAAATGACTATTAAACACAGCTACAGCATAAATTACATACAAAGTTTAAAGAATAGTAAGAACACCTGTGTACCACCCTTACTCAGCTTAAGAAAATGAGTATGAGGGGCGCCTGGGGGGCTCAGTGGTTAAGCGTCTGCCTTCGGCTCAGGTCATGATCCCAGGGTCCTGGGATCGAGTCCCACATCGGGCTCTCGGCTCAGCGGGGAGCCTGCTTCTCCCTCTCCCTCTGCCTCTCCCCCTGCTCATGCTCTCTCTCTCTCTCTGTATCTCTATGTCTCAAGTGAATAAATAAAATCTTAAAAAAAAAAATGAATATGGGAGCGCCTGGGTGGCTCCCAGCGCACACGTGTGTGTTTCTCTGGGGGCGCCTCTCTGAGGGCTGATGCTGGGTCACCGGGAATGCACACACTTGACTTTACCGGGTGACACAGAGTGCTGTTGAAAGTGATTGTACTCATTTCCAATCCTTTGGCACACAGACTAGAAGGATATTCCCTATAACATGACCAGTGAATTTTCTCTGGGCCATGGATTTTCTTTTCTGTAATTTCCAAATTTTATAGAATAAACATGTTTCAATACCCTTAAATTCCTTAATGACTATAAATCCTTCATGGCATACAACATCCACATACTGTGACGAGGCATGGAGTGGGCTGTCATGGCTGCCCGGCTGCCCCCTTACCTCCAGGCCCCGTTTACCACCTCCAGCTCCAGGACGGTCTGCAGTCGCTGACACTGCTTGGCCTCCAAGGTGATGTTCACTCTGCACTCCCCCAGAGGGTGAATCTGCCCGCTTGAGGGCTCAATGTCGAAGGGAGATACCTGGTGTGGAGGTCAATCCAGAAGAATGAGGAGAGGACACTTGGAATTGCAGAACTGGCAGTTGGGTAGCCCCCAAGCTGCCCCACCTCCTCAAAGAGCTGCTAGGATGCAGGACAAAGCAAGCAGGGAGAGCAGGGCTCTCGGGATTAAGAGAACAAAAACCAAGTCTCTAAGTAAAGGAGAAGGTCCCCATGCACTGGCCCAGATCTGAGAGGTAGAGGGCAGCCCCAGTGTAGAGGCATGGGTCAGGACCCTGAGGGCTCTAAGGACGGAAAACCATTGGGAGAAGTGTGATGCTTCCACGACCAACCGCCCTCCCCACCATTGCCCGCTGCAGGCTTGAGCCCCTTAGCCTCCATACCAGGCACAGAAAGGGAGAAAAGAAGGACAAAAGCTTAGGAAGAAGAATGCACCTGCAAGGGGGGCTCTCTACCCCCATCTTCCTGTTCCCAACTGAGACAAGGAGCACTGGTCTGACTGAAGGGCCCCATGGTCACACTGCCTAGTGAGGGTGTCACTGAACATGGAAAGGTCACACCCTGGAGGGACGCTATCCCCTCTTTGGTCTCTTCATTCCAGGAGACTGAGACAGTGAGTGTCAGGCCCCTGCCTGGAGGGCAGCCTGCCCATCCCGTGGAGGCCTGCGGTCTTCTACCCCCTTCCTCCCACCCAGACTGCCATGCTGGCCAGGTCAGGTCCAGAGTGCTTGTCTTGGGCTCTGTGCTCTCTTGCTTCTGACGGCTCACCTCCCCAGCACTGGTGGGAGGGAGCGGCTGGACTAACTCTCAGCAAAAGCGGCTCATGTGCTCAAGTCTGGGCCCCAAGCTCTGGTAGTAAAGAAGAGCCCCTTTGCTTTCCTTGGTCGTTGTTCCTCACATGTGTCTCCCTGGAAGTCCTGGGGGGATGCTGTAGGCCAGGACTGCGTCTCTGCGCCCCTGACCTGAGCACATCTAACAGACCCCAAATCCCAACATTATTTTTGAGAGCTCAAAAGAACAGAGTACAGAGAACTGTAGAGACAGGATTCGAACCAGGCTCAATTAAGACATAAATCTTAATATACTATGAAATTGACAGTTACTTCAATTATAAAAAATTATCATTCTTCACAGTGGGAGAAAAACCCAGACTGGGAATTAGAGAACCAGGATCTGTTGATTCCACCACTCACTAGCTGTGTGACCCTGGGGAAACCACTATCCTTCTCTGTGTCTATCCAATAAGGAGGCTGGCTGTGGTCTGTGGTCTGGGTAGCCCCAGAGTACGGTGGCCAGAGCAGTCACACTTTATTTTCCATCTTGGGCTTCTGCCTAAGGTTTCATTTGAAGAAAAGCTTCCTGCCTAAAGATATTGATACCACCCTGTCCCTGTCCCCATTTTCCACGGTTCCCAAATCCAAGTGGGGAGACCGATGAGCCTGGACAGAAAGTGCCAAACTCCAAGCCTGTGTAACAGGACATTTGGCAATGGTTCTTGGCAATGGTGTTGGTAATTTGATGCAAATTGTCCCAACTGCTAAGTTTCAGAGTGCCCAGCTGCAGAAATGAGGCCGTTGCCTAAAGGACAAGGCCAGTCAAGTGTAAAGGAAAGGTCCAGGAAAAAGGGATCGCCCACTGGCAGATACGATGGATCTGCGGCTGCACCTTTCCTGGGCTTCTGCATGTGGAAGGAGGGAAGGGCAATGTTCTGCCTCTGGATGGTAAGTGGGCAAGCAAGAGGGGACTTGGCAGGAAGCAGTCAGAAGGAGGGTGCTTTCACCACACAGACCTGGTCAGAGCGTCACATGGGCAATCAGGACCTAAGGCAGCTCCCAAGAAGTCACAGCTGCCCCGTGTATGAAGAGTGGGGGTGACCAGCGGTGACTCACAGCTACCCGCCGGCAGGTAGGAGTAACTGACGTTTCGTGCCACTCGCTCTGGTTTTGCTCTGGATTGCACATCATATTTAAATGTGATGATGATGATGATAATACTTAATCACTTTCAGTGTTTTCTGTGTTTGTAGTTAAAAGGAAAGAGCTACTTGAGTGGAAATGTATGCTGGATTCTCCTGTTTGGGGCCGCAAGCCCGGCGCAAGTGCCCCCTGGTGGCAGGTACTCAAACTGCGAGCACAGTCCCTGGGAGGTTGGGAGCCTTGGGGGTGAGCCCTGCGGGTCGGACCCCCAGCTTCCGGCCCAGCTCAGCTGCCTATTTTCCTCCCAACTCAGCCTGCTTTGACAGAGGGAGAAACCCATGTCTTATTTCCACATCAGATGGTGGAGAAAGGAACAGTAAAATCCAGTTTGGGGTTAAGTTCTGCTGTCCGGGGGAGCCCAACTGCCTCAGAGATGGGGAGAACCGGGGACACTGCCAGGCAGGAGTGACGAGGCAGGCCCTTCCTGTCCAGCCTCAATGCTCTGAATGCGTCAGGACAGGTCTCCCTTCCTACACCACAGGTGGATCGGCTCCCACGGGGGAGGGGCAGCAGTGCTGGGGCCAGCGGTGCCGGACTTACGCCCTCACGCCTCTCTTGGAGGCAGACCAGGCTCTCCTTCATGCACCACGTGGCCGGGAGCTGGCTGACGTTCTGGATCTGGATGGAGTCGGTGGCTTTCTGCCCCAGGCGCAGCAAACCAAACTGAAGGGCTGAGACGTTGATGACAAGGGCGGGCCCCTGAGACACCCAGAGGGGCCTGTCACTGGACCGCCTTGGGAGTGGACTCTGCGCCCTACCCCTGCCACCCTGCTGGCCCACCGAGCCGCGCAGCACCCCCAGCAGCACCTTAAAGGCCGCCTCAATGTGTAATACCACTGGCGAGGGTGAGTTTTGGATTTCACACAGCAGGTCCTGGCTTGTTGGGCCAGGGACACCCCCGGTAAAGCTCAACTCAAAATCCTCCACCTCGCTGGGCTCTGGAAGAGAGGGGGAAGTGAGCTGGAGAAAGGGAGGGGGGCAGTTCCCTGCTGCGGCTGGGCCCAGATGTCTGGCCTCCGCCGACTTCTCATCCATCACACAAGCCAGGTTGCAGCTGGAGCTGATCCCAGAACCCCCTGAACCCCTGCACAGGTCCCCTGTCCTCTCAGGTCGCCCCCCACCCAGCCAGACCCAGGAGGTCACGCCCCCCCCTCCCCACCATCCCTGCAGTACCTATGGTCCCCATGCAGGGTTCCACTTCAATGATGTGGCAGTCACTGATCTTCCCCCACAGGTATCTGATGGGGGACTTGCTGTTGTTCCACATCTGTAAGACACGCCCCAATCCAGGCTCCCCAGGCACCACCCCTGCACAAATCTGTACCCACCAAAGGACTGCGGGGCTATGGGCCCACAACGGGACCTCCCGACACCCTCCCAGCTACTTCTTGGCCATCCAACAGCACCGACACCACACGGCAGGGTTTGTGGGCACATATCCCACCGAAGACCCACAACCACAGGAATGGTCCCACAGCCCTATCGTTCGGAGGATGCTGGGGAGCTGGTGAAATGACAAATGTGCCCGGCCCATCATTGGTGCACATCAAGTCAGGTTCAAGAGCCCTGGGGACAGTCTCATCCTCTATGCAGTGGCTATCATCCACCCCTCCAGCCACATCCTCCCTATGCTCATGCCAAGTTCCGCACACTCCTGGCCAGCCTAGGCTGGGGGGAGACCATAGCCTACCTTAAAATTTTTCTTCACATTTATGCCAATGTAGTTCTCCCCGGGGATGATGAGGGCATACGGTTCTAAGAGAACCTGGAAAGGTTCCACTGAGCCTTTCACCTCGATGTCCAGGACAATCACGTCATCCACAGAGTAAGAAAAATCCTTCAGGTTTTCCTGTTCCAAGCTGAACACAAACCCACCGTGAGCTAAGAGCCAACGCAGCCTGGGAAGATGGCTGGGAGCATGGCCCTACATGGCCCTCACCTCTGTCCCTTCTCTGTGGTCTTGTGAAAAGAAAGCACTCCCCTACCCACAGCTCCCAAGCACCTCAAATCAGAGGCACGAGCCAGCCAAACAGTGATAGTACTGGGACGGGGTGCCTGGCCTGCTGCCTCCCGGGACTATGCCGTAGTGGTACCCAGCCTGGGTCTCCACATGAGGCTGACCGGAGACCCACCCTGACTGTCTGCCCAGGGGAGAGCTGATGGAGATGCCCCCGGCGGGGCAGAGCCTCTCCTCCTTAGTCGCCACCACCCAGGGCCCAGCGGCCTGGCAGCCCAGCGCTGAGGCTAAGTGGAGCCCAGCGAGCCGTTCCCCGCAGCTGAGCCCCTCTGGGCCTAGGTGCCAGGGCAAGGCAGAAGCGCTCCCCTGTCAAGGCCTGCTGGGGGTCAGGGGGCTGCTTCCCTCCTTGCCGTCACCTTCCCCAGTACCCCCAAGGGGAGGGCAGGCCCCGCTGCCCACCCCTCATATAGGGCCCAGTCCCCACTCACTTCATGGGCTCTGGGACGTCCTCTAGCACCATCTGGAGCACACTGTGAAAATCCCTGGGCTGCAAGACAAGCACAGCACCCTGAAAACAACCCGCACTCCAATCCGCTGTCCTGGAGAAGCCGGGAGCCATGGCAGAGAGGCCTTCCGAAAACCACGGCGCTGCTTCCCTACTACCGCCCCTACCCCAGGGAGGGAGGCAGCACTCGGGATGTGGGGCCGCCGCAGTCTCAAGGCTGGCGTTCCGACCTCAGCGGGGCCTCAGCGGACAGGAGGGACAGGCTCTCCAGGCCCTGACACTGCCTCTCTCGGCAGCGCCCTCAACTGTGGGAGGCACCACAGCTTCCCAGAACAGTAGGGCCGGATGTCGGCTGGACAGGCAGGGGAGTTCTCCCTTCACTCCCAGCTCTCATTTCCCCTCTCCTCACACAGGAGCCCCCTGTGGGAACCCGGCCCTCGGCACCTGCACCTCACTCTCTGGGGGAGGCTGGGGGCTGGGCAGAGATGCGACTGTCACCGACGCAGTGGAAACACGGAAGATGCCAGAGCTGAGGAAATGAGCCCAGGGTCCTGCTACAGGCAAGGTGTGTACACCATCGGGACCAGGCAGAATAGGCTGCTTTGTCCTCCAGCCCCACTCTCAGCTAAGTGCCGGCCTCGGAGGATGCCGGGATCTCGTCAGGCTCAGCTGCAGCTTCAGTGTCACTAAAGGACAAGGATGGGGGCTGGGGGGGGGGGTGAAAGTGCCACGACCCCATCATGTGTGACTACCAGGATGGCATCGTTTTTACCTCATGAGGAGAAAAGCTCAGGATGAATTCATGATCCGTGTGGGGGCTGAGAACCCCTCTTTCAGGCAGGATGGAGAAGGCCGTCTCCCTGTCAGGGTGGTACTTGAGGCTGTCCAGGCTGTAGGTTTCTCCAGGCATCAGGGGCTGCAGGTTAGGCTTCATGATCTGCCAGTGGAAGGCCAGCTCCACGTGCCTGTGGGGGCAGCGGATCTATGGCCCAATTTTGCCAGGCCCAGTCTTCTGACCCCCTGCCTGGCCAGGCCCCACTCCAGGAGTGAGCAGAAAGGACCCAGGAACAGGAAGTGGGGGAGCACATGGGTCAGGGGTCCACGCTGGAGACCTCCTAAGACAGCTTCCCTCTCTCCACTACAGCAGTTGGGGGTTAGAGCCACGGGAACTCAGGGAAAATGGTAAACACAGGGAATCAGGCTCTAACTATTAAGCTGTAGATATCCGGAACATTTTCTGCAGTGTCCGCTACCACGTGAGAGTTCCAGAGGTTTGCCCCCTGGACTCCCCACTCTACCACCCTCCACCCCTCCAGCTGTGGCCTCCCAGGACAGCTCTGTCCGGAAGGGGATGTGCCCACCGGCTCCCAACAGAGAAGTGACAACTGCACGGTGGTGGGGAGGCGGGACTCCAGCATGCTGCTGATGGGGAGGGATGGCAGATGGGTACTGCTCGTCACCTCAGGAGACAGACTCTTGTAAGGCCTGGGGCCACCACGGAAGGTCTGTCCTAGTTTAATGGCGGTGCTCACAGGATGGTCAGGAACCGAACCCACTGGTCACAATCTGCCTGATCCTGGAACTTGGCTGGCTTCCCCTCATGGGCAGGGCAAGACCTCTCTGCAAAACTGCTCTGGGCTAAGGATACTCCAGGATGATCTAGAACAACACTGTCCAATCTAACAGACAGCGGCAATGGTAATCTTACTTATCTGCTCTGTCCAATACAAGAGTCACGAGCTACACATGTGCTGGTACTTAAAATGTGACTGGTGCCACCGAAAAAGTGAGTTTTATTTTAGTTTTAATTGATTTCAATTTCGATAGCCACATGTGGCTACCATGATGGGCAGTGCAAATCTGGGTTCTTCCATCTGGCCCTTGGAAGGACCCTCCAGCCTCCCTGGGAACTCCGGGCCGGGTGCGGAAGGAGAAAGGGTGCACGTTGGAGGGGGTGGCACAGTGTCACTCACGTAGCATTTCTAATAATCAGCTGCTTTCTAGCTGTGGACTGAAGGTTCTCGGGCTCAAAGCGTATGAAGTGTTGGGCTGTTAAGTCTGTGAGCTCTCCAGGCTCCGGCTGACTTTCTTCGCCAGAAATATAGATCAGATCCAAAGCAACCAGCTGCCCGATTCCTGACACAGTAAGATGGTAAAGTTTCACTGGGGCTGACATTAGGATTCTGTGGCCAAAGGCTGTCACAGGATCCATGCCACTGTCCACATGCAGCTGGCCTTGACCATGACCCCAGGAAGTGTACAAAGAGGGGAACAGGGGGCCATCAGCACACAGATCCTGTACCCGTATCTTCCCAGACTACAAGGAGGTGATTTTGATAACCTGGCCCATAGCAGGCACTCAGTTAATGCTTGCCAGGTGAAACTGGATGGAAGGATGGATGGACAGACAGATGGATGGATGGAAGGATGAACGGGAGGGAGGGAGGGAAGGAAGGAAGGAAAGAGGGAAGGAAGGAAGAAAGGAAGGAAGGAAAGAAAGAAGGAAGGAAGGAAGGAAAGAAGGAAGGAAGGAAAGAAAGAAGGAAGGAAGGAAGGAAAGAAGGAAGGCAGGCAGGCAGGCATCTTGGGGAAATCCAGCAGGATGCCCCTTCTAGCTCCACAGAAACTGGGGTGCTTCTGGTCATTTATGTGTAAGTTTCTGGCAATTCCCCAAAGGAGATCGAGGTGAGTTTAAAAATGAAGAAATCAAAGACTTCACCCCAGGCTCCCCTCTGTCTCTCACGAGAAGGTTCCTTGGGATTGTCCCAAAGGCCACACTGACTTGGGTCTCCAATGTCTGACCAGAGCAACAGGCCCCAAACCAGGCCCCAGAGCCTGGAGGCTGCAGCAGGCCCTCTTACCCCCTGAGACAGGGCGGCTCAAAGAGCCGTACCATGGCCAAGCCTAGTGCAGCAGCTTCTGGAGTCAGGGTACCCGCCCACCCCGACCCCAGGCCTGGGAGTACACACAAGCCCACCTACGGTCACCAGCTCCTTTATCTGGCAGTTGTCACATACAATGATGAAGGTCTGCTCTGCCTTTTCTAGGCTCGTTGGGAGGAACAAGACCTGGCGGAGAGAAGGGCTGCCCTGTTACCTCCCTCCTCCTCTCAGACACATACCCCCCCTCCCCTTGTTCTCCACTTCTCACTTCCCTCCCTGCTGCCCGCCCCTCACCCCCCACCTTCTCCCTAAGGCCAGGGGGTTCTGCCAAGACCCCACTCCAGACTAATGCCAGAAGCATGTTGAAAGGCATGAAGAAAAAGTTCACAGAGACTGAGATGCAAACAGCTCTTCAACACATGAACACATGTTTAACCTCATTAATGATAAAAGAAATGTAAATGAAAACCACCCAGAAAAAGTTTTCACCCTTCATACTGGCAAAGAGCAGAAAGCCGGCAATCAGAAATGCAATGAAAAGAGAGCTGAATTTTCTTCAAAATCATCTGGAGGGGAAGGGCGCGGTTTGGCTGGAAGGGACGGAGGGGCGTAGATGCGATGAGGTTGGTGAAGAGTTGATCGATGTTGACTGGGTGCTAAGGACCGGAATGAGTTGTTAAACTAGCCTCTCCATTTTTGTATATGCTTTAAAATACGCATGACAACAGGATTTCTCTCTTTTTTTTTTTTTAAGTTTTTCTTTTACGTTTGATAACACACTGTAATTGGCAAGGGTGAGGGAACAGACACCCTGACATACCCATGTGGTGGGGATTTGGGCAACGTGAATCACAGTTCTGACCAGCAGAGACCCCTGAGTCGGCAAACCCACTTCAAGGCCTGGAACGTGCCGGGAGACTCATAGTTGGACAGAGTGATGTATGGAGTTGCCGAAATGGCCAGAGATCAGAAAGAATCGTCGTGGCCCTCAGTAGGGGACAGCTGACCTGAGCTATGGATCACTGGAGCAGTGGGATACTATGCAGCTGTGACAAATAGGAGAATGCTGTTCAAGATAGAGCAGAACAGTGAGCGGGTGGAACAGAGTATAGTGTGGGCAGCGATCTGTGGGAAGCACTTCACTCTATATAGTTGCAGCTTTTGATTTTTCATCATGTGAATTTGTTTCTTATTTGGAAATATGAATACATTTTTTTTTTAAAGATTTTATTTATTTATTTGAGAGAGAGAGAATGAGAGACAGAGAGCATGAGAGGGAGGAGGGTCAGAGGGAGAAGCAGACTCCCTGCCGAGCAGGGAGCCCGATGCGAGACTCGATCCCAGGACTCCAGGATCATGACCTGAGCCGAAGGCAGTCGCTTAACCAACTGAGCCACCCAGGCGCCCCTGAATACATTTTTTAAAAGATTTTATTTGACACAGAGAGAAAGAGACAGTGCACAAAGGGGGAGTGGCAGGCAGAGGGAGAAGCAGGTTCCCTGCTGAGCAAAGAGCCCGATGCGGGACTCGTTCCCAGGACCCTGAGATCATGACCTGAGCCGAAGGCAGACGCGTAACCGACTGAGCCACCCAGGCGCCCTGGAAATATGAATACATTTTAAAACAAACCCCAGGGCGCCTGGGTGGCTCAGTTGGTTAAGCGACTGCCTTCGGCTCAGGTCATGATCCTGGAGTCCCGGGATCGAGTCCCGCATCGGGCTCCCTGCTCGGCGGGGAGCCTGCTTCTCCCTCTGACCCTCCCCCCTCTCGTGTGCTCTCTCTCTCTCTCATTCTCTCTGTCTCAAATAAATAAATAAAAAAAAATCTTTAAAAAAAATAAAAATAAAAAATAAAACAAACCCCAAATAATCAATAAATAAAATACACAAGGGATACCAAGGGGAAAAACCTCCCCTTGACTCCTCACTGCTCTCCAAAGAGTCCTGCTGCTCCCCTCTTCCTTTCCCTGGGGATCACAGGAAGATAGGATGAGGGGATGTCCTGGCCTGGTCAGGGGTGACCAGCCCCAATTCCTTAAAGCCAGACCATAAGGTACTGACAAGGCCTGGACCAGGCAAGAGGACTCAAGCCATCAGCAGGTGAGGTCTGACAAAGCCCTACAATGCCCTGAATTGGCTTCATCCCAACCCCAAAAGCCAGGTTCTTATCGGGGATCAGATTAGTACAGACATGAACAAGAAGGCATCACTCCAGGACTCCCAAACGAGATCCCATCAGGCACTTGACACTGGAAAGCAGCTAATAAAGGAAGCCTGCCCTTTCCCTATGGCAAAGCAGCTTACAGCAGTGGTCCTCAAACTCTGCTGCACACCTGCAAGGCTTTAAAAATCCTATGCCTCAGGCAAACCCCACACCCATTAACTCAAAACCTCAGGACTGGGGCCAAGACACCGGTGCGTTCGCAAGATTCTCAGGAGATTGCAGTAGGTAGTTTGAAAATCCTATGGCTCTGGGCTTAAACCCCCTTCCCTAGAAACCAGACAGCGTTCACTCTTGAATGTCATGCCTCCTCCAACAGGCTAGTGAGGAAGGCTCAGAGTCTGATCCCTGGACCGGGGAGTCAGGGAGGGCGAAGGTGTGGAGCAAAAGGGGCAGGGAAACATCATCATTCCTCACAGACTGTGCCGGGGATCAGTGAGCAGGTGTGAGGAGCCAAAGGGACCACTGAAAGAAGCTGGTTAGGAAAGGACAAGCCCCACAGCCAGCAGATCCAAGTCCAGGAGCTTTGGCAGAGGTCCAGAATAAGGCCGAAGGAAGGCAGGCCTGGCCAAGCCTATAACTGAGGACAAAAGAGGAAAAAGAGGACAAAGCCAGGCACTAGATCTGGTGGGGGTGGAGGGAGGTGTCCAAGAGAGACCAAAGAACCAAAGGAAGATTCTGGAGGCAGCTAAGATGGGAGGGACTCCCAGGCTAATGGTGTGGACAAGCAGCATTGGGGGATCATGATGCAATGCTAGGGCTATCTGCACTTGCTTTGTAAGAGGGGTCATGAGAGAGTCAAATGACATCACCCCACAGAATGTAAGAACGTTCTCCTACACAGAAACCATCCTGGAATGGGAGTGGGTATTCAAGTCCCGAAAACACAGAGGCGAATGAAATCACGTAAGTAGTTGAGGAAACAGCCATGGCCAATCGAAAAGAGGAGAAACTATACGTGATGTCTAATTACCTACCTCCACACATATGGCCTGCCCCGGAGCCAGCTCAAACACCGAAGGCAGGATTCCAAAGGGATGTTGCTCAATGAAGCCAATGGTTGCAACAGCCTTAAAGAAAAGCGGAAGATCACACAAGAGCATGGAAGAGACTGTAAAATCCAGCACTCCGATTACACACTTCTCTCCTCCAAACATCTCTTTTGCAATCTGAAGGATCTTAAGGATCATCCAGTACACAGCCAATGAAGAAACTGAGGCTCGCCCATTCCCCAAGCACTCCCTCCACCTTCCCTGGGCCGAAGGTGCACAGAACACCCATGAGGAGCTGAGCCCTGGTAGGAGGCAGAAGGAACACCACTGACATGAAGCAGAAGCATGAGAGGAGGCCTCGCCCGGGAGGAGGGCTCCCAAAGCATAGTCCTTTCCCCACCCCAGCGCCCTGTGTGGCTGCCTCAATCCCCGATGGGTGGTTCTATCCCCTCCATCCCCGATGGGTGGTTCTATCCCCTCCATCCCCGATGGGTGGTTCTGTCCCCTCCATCCCCGATGGGTGGCCCAGGGTCGAGGGGAGCTGCCACCTCAGCACATTAGGGACATAAACCCACACCTAGAGGACCCTGGCAGGCAACAGAAGTGAGTGAAATGGTCTTGGAACACGCAGTCCTCTGGATCTATCACCTGCTTCCCAGAGACACGGTTACAGAGAAACAGAGCTGAAAAATAACTGTGAGCACGCGGTCCATGGTGCCGGCGCTCGGCTCCAGCCAAGGGGCCACGGGGAATCCTGGCCCAGCGCTGCACATCTTCCAATTTTTCTTTTCTCCTTTTCCTTTTTTAAAGATTTTATTTTTTAAAGTAATTTCTACACCCTACGTGGGGCTCAAACTCATAACCCTGAGATCAAGAGTCACATGCTCTACCAACTGAGCCAGCCAGGCACCCCTCCAATTTTTCAGAGACTGGAAATGCAGATTTTTAGGTGAAATCCCCCTAGTTTTAAATGTCCCCAAAAATGTTTTTGAGCACTGTGCCAAATAAATACACACACAGAATTCAGCCAAAGAGCTGCCAACGTAGGACCTCAGAAGTATGAAAACATTTGCCACAGTAATGACTGACTGAAGGAGTAAATGCAGTGACACTTGAGCCAGGCTTGGAAGGATAAGGGAGGAGATACAAGGTGCCCAGGTGACACAGGTTTCGGTGGTGTGACAAGAACTACAGCACTCGTCTCCATATATGTTGATTATGGCAGCTGGGCGAGACAGACGTTACACAATTCTTTTGTCTCTGCGTCTCCAGTCACAGGTGCACTCCAGCACATTCCTCATGGGATGGGGGTGGGCGGGACTTCTTTGGATGGGTTTGTTCCTGCTTCAGGTAGCAGTCTGTGATCACTCACCCTGAAACTTGGTGGCGGCCAGCTCTTCTTAGGCATGATGCAGAACTTGCCGACGCTGAAGCCCACGTTTTTGCAGATGAATCTGGTTACCTTCATTCCCCCAATGAGGCAGTAACCGCAGTCCAACACTGGTGATACTAGAGCCATAGGAAAAGATGCACAACAGAAATAACACGTTGCTCTGAATAGGCCCTGTTGCCCTTGTTCAGCTGAGGTCCAGCCAGAGCTCAGAGCAGCCGTGGAAGGATGCAGGGGCTCTGGCCCAGCACCCAGAGCAGAGAGGATGAATGGGGACACGCCCTGAGCCCTGCACCCACATGGCAGCCACCGGTCTCCATGCACTGCTGGCTAGATCAACAGGAGTCTATGCTCACTGGTTTTTTTTTTTTTTTTTTTTTTAAGATTTTATTTACTTGACAGAGAGAGAGAGAGAGCACAAGCAGGGGGAGCAGCAGAGGGAGAGGGAGGAGCAGATTCCCTGCTGAGCAGGGAGCCCGATGCGGGGCTCGATCCCAGGACCCCGGGATCATGACCTGAGCGGAAGGCAGATGCTTAACCGTCTGAGCCACCCAGGTGCCCCGTCTGTGCTCACTGTTGACTCAGGCCTCAGCCAGGGCCACGCAGCGTGGCCCTGGGGATTGTGGGCCAGAGTCCTGTGCCCAGCTGAAGAGGCTTGCTGCTAATGAGGGAGCCCAGCCAAAGCCAGCTTTCCCAAAGAAGCCACCCACACAGCCACAGAGGTGACATCCGCTGGGGGCCCCAGGTACCCCTTCCTTGGCTCAGTGTGGCGCAGGCCCACACGGGGATCCAGGAGCCAGCAAAGCCTGAGCTGAGGCTAGCTAGGCTGCTGGCCTCCTCTCCTGCTGTGTGTAATTCTGAGTCAGCCTCCACTGGGCAGTAGGACAATTGGGGCCTGACACAAAGGAAGGCTGTGTGGAAGCTGCTAGCAGGTATCCCCTGAGGACCCAGAAGCCCCTGCCCAGGAGGACCAAGTCATGTGCTGCCACAAAGGGGCCCTGAGAGCAAGCAGTCTTTACAGGGACTTGTCAACCCTAACTGAATCCCAAGGAAGGCAGAGTACACACTCACACGTCAGCACTGGGGGTGGCCTCCGGGCCTGCAAGGGGATTAGGAGTGGGTGGGCTGACTGGGTCTCGACTAAGATAAAATCATCAAAATCCCCAAGACAGTCGGGAAAAAACTGGACGATGTACTGGCAGGTCATTCCAGGAGCCACCATTCCACCTTTTCCTGGGAACATCCCTGTGCATGACAAAAGCAACAGATGAGGACCTGGGGACCAGCCAGCCACCGGGGCTTGAGTTCAAGTGCTACAGGCAGCAACCAGGGGACACAGGTAGACCCCATCACAGCTGGGCTGCTCCATAAGTAGATGCCTTCTGGGTCAAGGCCATGCTGATGGCAGAACCACCAGGGCACGCAAGGGGGACAGGCTGCTAGGGCAGGGAGTCCAGGTGAAAACACCAGGGCCCGGGCAAGTGGGTGGGGGAGTGATATGGTCCATCTGGAATAGTTAGGGGAGGCCATGTCTGGCCTGATGGCTTAGAATTTATTTTGTGGCCAGCAGAGAGCCATTTGAGCTTCCGAGCATGGTTGGGGAGGGGAATGACATGACCAGAGCTATTCTTGGAAAAAGCACTGTGTCGTGGAAGCTGGAGGGCCGGCTGGGAAGCCCCCACAATGGTTTAAGTGAGGAATGAGGATGGCTTGACTGGGGGCACTGGCAGCATGGAGGGTGAGCAGAGGGCAGGCCCAGGGCCTGGAGGGGGCGCCTGAAGAAAGGGGCCGGCAGGACTCAGAGACATCACCAGGAGCATGGGTGGGAGCAGGGCAGGCTATCGGCAGAGCAGGAGGGACCCAGGGACTGCTAAGGGAAAGGTGGGCCCAGGCTCCTCTGACAGTCAGGTGGGCCTGTGCCAGGAGCAAGCCCCAGATACAATTTTGAGGGGGTCCAGACCACTGCTAGAATGACTCACCCAATCCCAGAGCGAAGTACGGTGTAGAAGGCGGGAGGACTCGCAGGTAGCGGCTGGTTGCCGTGGTGTTCTGCAGGGAGATCACCATCTGCCCAAAGGTCAAGGGGAGCTCTTTTAGATAGCAATGCACATGGCCAAGTGACATGAGGCCCAGACTGACTACATAATAGGGAAAGGGGATAGAGGTGTAGATGGAATGAGTCTGGGCTGGGGATGGGCACATGGGGATTCATCATGCCCCTCTATTTACCTTAGATTGTATTTGGAAAAAATAAAATACAAAGTGAACATGAAGACGGCAGTAGATCTGACCTATGCTTTGCCCTCTTTAAAACAAGACCTACTGTTTGTCGAGCATCTGCCATGTGCCCCCCAACCTCACAATAACCAGGAAAAGGTGGGAGCTATCTCTATTTTATCTCGAAGAAGCTAAAGTTCAAAGAGGCACCCTAAGCAGTAAGTAAAAATCTTGAGATTTGAGCCCAGGACATCCAGCTCCAAAGTGCTGCCCACCTGGCCTCTTACTTTGCTGACTTCTTCCCCACATATCCCTTTGGGCCACTTCTTCCCATGGGCCCAGTCAAGAGATGTTTGCGGGCACCTGTATGACAGGGTTGTAATTGGGCCTCCCTCCACCACTCAACCCATGCAACCCCTATTAAGTCCTGCCTTCTCTTCTCCCTCTCTAAGACTGGGAGATCCCAAGGGGGCAAGGCCTGGAACTCACACACTGCTAACCCCCACCAGCACTCCGCACAGGGTCTAGCACAAAAGAGGAGCTCAGTACATGAACACATCTTTTGCTTCTCTTTTGTGAAATATTATACTGGAAAAAAATGTATAAATTATAACATGATGAAAGCCATGTTTCCATCACCCAGCTTAAGAAAAAAAAAAACATTAAAAATACAGAAGCCCTACCCCTGCCCCCTTGCCCTCCACCAGATAACAGCTACATAAATGTGAAGTGTGTGTCTTCATACTTTTATTCATAGGCATGTATTCCTAAGTCAACACTTGTCCAGTTTTGGCCAATACAACACTTGCAGCAGTCCATCTGCGAATCACACCCAAGTGTGGAGAGACCCATATTATGGTTTTAATCTTCATTACTCTGTTATTAATGATAATGAGCATTGTTTCATATGTTTATTTGCTATTTGGGGTTCCTCTTGTGTGAGTTGTCTGTCCATATTCTTTTACCATTTTGCCATTGTATACTTTGTCTTTCTCTTATTGATTTATAACAGTTCTTGATATATTCTGGGTGCTAATTCTTTATAAGGTATATGTTGTAAACATCTCCAAGTTTATAACTCATATTATCTTTTGATGTACAGTTTCTAAAATTTCAATATAAAATATATCAACTTTTTGTGGTTTGTGCTTCTGTTTCAAGAACTCTTTTGATATCTCCTATATTTTCTTCTTTAAATTTTGTTTGAGGGGCACCTGGGTGGCTCAGTCAGTTAAGCGTCCCACTCTTGGTTTTGGCTCAGATCATGATCTCAGGATTGTGAGATGGAGCCGGTGTCGGGCTCTGTGTTGGGTGTGGAGCCTCCTTAAGATTCTCTCTCTCCCTCTGCTCCTCCTCTCTCTCTCCCCCCGCCAAAACAAAAACAAAAACAAAAACAAAACAAAAAACCAAATAATGATAATAAAATTAAATTCCATTTGAAAATAAATAAATAAATTTTTTTGAGATCTTTGCTGAAAAGTATTTTGCTTAGGGTATGGAGTGAGGTAGGGATTAGATTATTTTCCATATGGCAAGGATGCCATCTCAGTTTTGTCTCCTCAGGGGTGCACATGTGCACGGAACAGCCTGAGCAATGGCACGTGCGGTTCCCTCCATCAGGCTGCGGTTCCCTCAGACGAGGAGCCAGGGGCACCCACTGCTGAGATTCATGGTTAAGGTGTTACTGTGGAGGCAGCCGCTCTCACGTCCACTGAGGTATCAAGAGAGCCTTGCTCCAGCCACACAAGGCAGACCTCTGACCAGCAAAAGGCAGGAGCCAGCAGTTTATGTGGTTTCTGAGGGGATGTGCCATGAGACAAAACAGTCAACTGCACTCAATGGCAGACAGCTCAGTAACACACTCTCGGATTGGCTCTCCCTCCTTCCACCCCCTTTCCTCAGTCCTCTCCGGAGATGCGAATGACAGCACAGACTCTCACGGCCTCAGACTCCGCTTTATGAGGCACCCAGGCTATGACAGTTGGCATCAGAAGGGTCCTAAGGCAGCAGAGCCTCAGGGTGCGAGTCTGGAGTTGGCCTTCCCGCCAGTCTGGTGGTAATCAGAACTCCAGCTGGTGGGAAGTCGGGTGTGAGGACCCCTGGTATGCAGTGGCATCACAATCACCACGGCTTTCACCCACAGTCAGCTGAAATGAGGTGCAGGTGCAGGGGCAGGTCTGGCACTGGAACAGGGGGTGGCTTTGGTGCCTGTAAGTTCCGGGGCAGTGATAATAATGAGGACTGAAGAGTGTGCTGGCTTTCCTTAACAGCACTGGAAGCCCCAGAGGGAAAAATGACAGGCTCAGGGCAGCCAACTGCCAACTCAAGGCCCACTGTGAAGCCCTTCCTTGCATTCCTGGGTTACACAAAATGTCCTGCTGGTGCGTGTGTGGGGGTGCGTGCACGCTCATGCACAGGCCCACATGCACTTCTTGCTTGATTTGGCTTGCCATTTTTCACCTAGGATTTCTGTACCTATTTTTTTTTTCTTTCAAATGTCTTTTTTAAGTTACCAAAATACTGAAAGGGAATAAAAGAGCAACTATATGAAACCTATAGCCCCCTGGCTTATAAGGTACAGGTCTCTATTCCCACCACAACCCTTCAGCCTTCACACTCACAGCCTGGGTTCCGTCTGCCTCCATCTCAGGACAGAGAAGCTCTCTCGCAGCTCCCAGAGCCTGGGGACTGGGAGTGTACCTATGTTCTTAAGCAAGTCTGGTGCATGTTTTTTATTGTTATAGCTCCTTATCTGGCTTTGGGGTCAAGGTAATATTAGGCTCCGTCTTAGTCCGTTCGGGCTCCTCTACAACATACTATAAACTGGTTGGCTTATAAACAACAGAAATTTATTTCTCACACCTCTGGAGGCTGACAAGTCCAAGATCAAGGCGCCAGCATGGTCACATTTTGGTGAGGGCCTTCTTCCTGATTCACAGCCGGGACTTTCTCACTGTGTTCTCAAAGTGGTGGAAGAGGCAAGGGATCTCTGTAGAACCTTTTTTACAAAAGCACTAATACCATTCATGAAGCCCCACCTTCATGACCTAAGCACCTCCCAAAGGCTCTACCTTCTAATACCATAGGATTTCAACATATAACTTTGGGGGGACATGAACAATCAGACCATAGCAGGCTCATCACCTAATAATGAGGGTATGTTCCTTCTTTTTCTAGTCTCTGAAACAGTTTATATATAATAGGGATTAGCTTAAATGATTGGTAGTGTACACCTGTAAAATGATCCAGACCTAGCGTTTCTTTTGCTAGAAAGTTTGTTTTTTAGTTATTTTCATCAAAGTTGGACCGCCACATAGGTTAACAAGTAAAAGGTTTTGAAAACAGAAATCCTGCTTTCTTCCCCTGAACCCGTCTCCTGCCATTTCCTGTAATACTTTTTCCTGCCTTTGGCTGAGTATTTCAGAGTATGTCTCCAAATGGCATGCTACTTTTTCTTAATTTGTATGCATTAATTATGGATGGATGATAGGGACATTCGCTCTTCCTCTCCCATATCCAACTCACCATATGATATGCCCTTCCTATCCCTCATCTTCCCAATATAAGTTATATCATGCTACTTGGTTAGTACAGTAATTGGTGTTTGCATTATTGTCACTGTGTAAATGATATCCACATGACTTCATGTGAAATTTTCCCTTATATAATTATTGTCCACCCAGAGTTAATAATCAATTATTTTGTTTAATATGTACTTACTAATAATTCAATCTCCCTGCACTACTCTAAAAATCTCTTCCCAAGATGTCTAGATGTATCAGGGACTCTTAATGATGTCACCCCCATAAATCACCCTCTGCTAGGACCTTCTGGCCTCTTCCAATCTGAGCTGCTTCCCTGCTATACCTACTGCTAACTCTCACCCAGGACAACCCCCGTAGCAGTTTTAAGACAGGTCTACAAGTTCTTTGAGGTGAGGTGTATGTGGCTTCCTCTCGACTCTGGGCCAACAGCCAGTCACTTGTAACCTGTAGCATGCAGAGGAAATAGTGACTTTCTCTACTTGTCCAAGGTAACTTCCAAGGTTAGATCATACAAAGTGATACAACCTCCATCTCGCTTGCTAGGATATTCACTTAGAAGCTCTGATGCTGGGGCGCCTGGGTGGCTCAGTTGGTTAAGTGACTGCCTTCGGCTCAGGTCATGATCCCGGAGTCCCGGGATTGAGTCCCGCATCCGGCTCCCTGCTCGGCAGGGAGCCTGCTTCTGCCTCTGACCCTCCCCCCTCTCATGTGCTCTCTCTCTCTCGTTCTCTCTGTCTCAAATAAATTTAAAAAAAAAAAATCTTAAAAAAAAAAAAAAAAGAAGCTCTGATGCTCACTTTGAGTTGCCACGTACCATCTAATTACCCTGAGGTGGCCATTCTGTGAGGAAGCCCAGGCCACAGGGAGAATCCATGTGTAGGTGCTCTGGTAGGTGGAGTGGTCTACTGACAACCAACCACTCACTGTGCAAGTAAATATGCCTCAGATAACTCCAGCTCCCAGCTTTCAGGTCACCTCTAGGCATAGACTCTTTATAGCTAAGGACTCCAACAACATGGAATAAGCCATTCCCATTGTGCCCTGTCTGAATTTCTGATCCAAAGAATCTGGAGCATGATAAAATGGCTGTTTGAAGTTGCTAAGCTTTGGGGAAATCTGCTTTGCAGCACAGCAACCGGAAACCCACTTAACCATTAGGGATCTGGGGATTTCCTTCACCTCTCTCCTGTGTTGGATCCTTTGTTTCCCACATACCAGGCCTTCCTCTTCCTTGGCTTACTGGCTTGTAGGAGAGCATGTTCCCTAGGAGTTTCCTGAGGAAAGTGCATGGGACATACATTTGTA